GCCAATAGCTCCATTGTCATCCGATCCGAACGACTACGAAGCTTTAACTCCAGGCCACTTTCTCATTGGCGGGGCTCTGAAAGCTCTTCCAGAGCGAAATGTTTCTCCAAATATAAGCAGTCTACACCAATGGGCACATATACCAGGCATAAAACAAACATTTTGGAAGCGGTGGTCACATGAGTATATCAACGAATTGCAAGTACGCTCAAAATGGTTGTCAGATCGGCCAAACATCAGCAACAACACCTTGGTTATCATCCATGAAGATAACCTACCACCCCAGAAATGGCTTATGGGAAGAATAGTCAAATGCATACCAGGAAAGGATTCAAGAATTCGTGTGGTTGACGTTCGTACATCTAAGGGAATTATTCGGCGCCCCATCCACAAGCTAGCAATTTTACCAGNCAATTATTCGGCGCCCCATCCATAAGCTAGCAATTTTACCAGTTTGAAATGTCTTTCAACGGGGCCGGGATGTTGGGTCACCGATTGGGAACCGCTGCATTTTAAACCATATGTTATTTTATATTTTATTATATGCTTACAATATTCAAGGTCAGGTATGCTTAGTTCATTCACCTCAATGCAATTAAAATTTGTGTTTGCTTTAAATATTGCCTTGACCTACTTAGTGATATTCTCCCACTATATTGTGTGCTTACATTTGCCTATATATATATGTACATACATATCTACATATATTCCCTATATTCATATTGTTCACTTGCATTTACATACATATACATACACATATGCTTCCGCTATGTTTCGCTTTGCAATAACATGTATAGTTGTTTGTACGCTTTCGCTATTTTAGTTTAACATATGTATGTAATTACAAAGCTTAATATATAAGCATGCCTACAGCAATGCTGCATTCCCATTTTTCACACCAAGTACAAATAGCGTTAAGTATATATTAGTGTCATCCACCTTTATGGAGTGCTAGAGTATATGAATTATGTATGCATTAGGAAATATCAGATGTTAGGTATTAGACAATTATCGGTACTTATGTATTATTTGAAAATGGATTTAAAGAGAAGAATATGTCAAATAAATTTAGTCTAACAGCTGACCACCAAAGCGTTCGCATCTGCCCATCACCTGTGCTTGGCCTCCTTTTCGTCGTTGGATATTTTGCTTGACCATTTGCGCGGTTACAAAAAAGGCTTTGTAATCCTACATTTGCTGCAGCAGTCTTCCTTTTCCTTTTTTATGTCACAAAAAGACACTTAGCCTAACAGCAGTTCGTGCTACGCAACTCTGTCTGCAATATCCGCAGGCACCGTGTTCAACTTATGTATGTTTAGCGCCAGTGTAGGTGTGGTTCCTAATGCTCCGCTAATTCCTGTTTTACAAGTGCAGCCTTCTCTAGTGAATTCCATCAGACAAGGGCTCCTTGAAACAATATAGGCTTAAATTTGGTTTCCTAGAGCTAATGAATTAATTTGGGCGAGAGACCCCACCTTTTACCGATAGCTCCCCTACAGTAGTACACGACAACCGACACCTTTCCTACCCTTTCCTAAATGTTAGGCTTCCTTGTGGAGTTCTCCTTTGTACTCTGCAGTGAGTGCAGACGCTCCCCCACTCCGCCGCGACAGTTCTGTCACGAAGTAAGCTTATTAGGTTGGTTTGAACCGCCAGATTATGAATATACTTGACTATTGCCTCTGGAGTGACATA